GTAGGCAAAAAACAACTAACCACTGCTGACTTACTTTCAGATTTTCCCGGACACTCAAGTGAAATATTTCATGTTGTGCCACTGCTTCAGGTTTCATATTTCACATTTTTAAATTATTATTTTTTATTCTCTAATGATATCTATTTTAATACATTGTCCATTTGTCTGGAATAATACTGCAAATATATGGCAAGTCTATTGTATCTGGAAACAAAAATAATTAAATGTGCCATATGTCTGATGAACAATCTGGATCTAAACTGTGAGAATTTTTTTTCTCATGGCAGGTGCTGACAGATTTGCTGATTATTTCTAGTCCTTTTCATTTTCATTCCATGGGAGATATTTAGGGAGTTTATAATACATAATATAAAATAAATGTTATATGATTATACAGAACTAACCCTGATGCCCAGGAACATTTTTGTCTCAGTATTGCCTTTAACAGTGCCTGAGCTTTCAGCACAGGTGATAGAAATGCCAACACTCCTGTCCTTGGCTTGGAGAACTGAGCAGCTATCTGGTTAATTGGAAGTCTTTCGATAATGTAGAAGTCCTCTGAACAATGTTACACCAGCACCTGTTTCAGCATGAACAGCAAATCCACCAAGAGAATAAAAGAAGCAAAATATATTTCATAATCATGTAAATAACTAAAACAAGAAAGGTTTTGGAGAGAAAGGAGTAAATGAATTAATCAATAAAGTATTTTCTTAAGCAAATACTTTAAAACTATTGTAGAGACAGAGCAAACAATAATCAGGCAATTGACTCAAAATGTTTGGTTTAAAGACGAAAGAGCGTTCTCACATTTTGAACAAGTTTTGCATGGCTGTAGGTAAATAGAATTACAAAGGCCTCTTTTTTCAAATCCAATGAACATGTAATAATCTTAAAAGTCATGCCAATTAGGTGATTAATTTTTCAGTAAATTAGTCTAATACAATGATGGATGAACTGCTATCACATTTAGCATGCACTGAGACTACGAAAAAAATCTGAACCCACACGCTTGGCCTTCAAGTACCTGTGAGTAATGCTACAGGACCCAAGTATAGAATGTACTGGCCATAAATGTAATTGGTAATGGACAGAAAGTCCTGGTCACTTATATTAGTTTTTGAATGTCATTGCCTAAAGACAATAAGAATATTTCTATTTTTATAGAATATACTATCCTGTTATTGTGATATATGTTCTGAAAAAATTGAATATGATTTCTACTTTAATTACATAACTTCAATTATACCTGCAGTGTGACAAAATATAGAAATGAAAAATAACAACATTAAATTTTTCAAAATAGCTCACTCCTATCAAAATGCATAAGAAGTGTGTTGCTGAATGTTTTTATAGATATTTCACATCTAAACTCCTAGTAGTTAAACAGGCTATTCATTAAACAGGAAGTGACTAGCATTCCTTGTCTCTCGTTGCAGTTCCTCTTCACTGCAGGCATTTCACCGAGTAACAACCATGTTAAAATCTCACTAACACAAAATAAAATGGTCCAATGTGCAAATTTGATATCCCAGTGTTGGTAATATTGATAAATTCTGATTTTTATTTATTTTATAGAGATATGAAAACATATAACTTGAAAAACCTTCATGGTTATAATTTCTATTTGTTATGGAATGCACATGTTTTTACTGAGAATACAGTGGGCTGGATTTTACAAGGAGTGGAAATCACACACAGATTGCCACTTCCCTCTTTTTTTGTATACAAGATGATAGAGTTCCAATTTCTGACAGGAGATTCCAATTAGGGCTCCTTCCAAAACATAGATAGTACAGGGTGCCAAGGTGACAAGAAAGCCAGGTAAGGGATGAGGTGTTTCAGGTAGGTCAGATATTTCAGATCTGCTGGGAAAGGGTGCTAGTGGAGGATCTGAACCTGGCTACCCAGAGCATTACCAGGTCTCTGGATTAATCCTGCAACTGAAATTCCAGCTGAGTTTTAAGCAAGTTGCTTACCAGCACAAAAATGATACAATTTCTACACCCGATTCAGAATCACTGTAACCTCCCCGTCAGAGCAAGGTTATCTAATGTAAAGATGGAGGTTACTAATGTATTACCATAGTCTAGCACCTCCAGCTCCCATATGTAGTCATTGTAATTAGCTCAGCAAGGTGGACCTCATAGAATGAGTTCCATGATTGTTCGAGATTAACAGCCCCAATCAGGGAGCCCTGGCTTACAGATAAAAAGGAGGAATGTCAGACATACCAACACTCAGAGTTGGGGTCTGAGGGAGCTTGACCAGTGTCAAGGACTTTCCACGCCTAAATAAAGGGTGACCTGGTGATGGGATACTGGCTTCTGTGGAGTTATTTCAGTGGCGCCGAGAATAACGCACCTTCCTGAAGAAACTCGTTAAAAACAGTCATCTTTGAGATTGGGTATGCAATTCTGGTATCATGCTGTTATTTGGGAAGCTTGAGTTATTTGACCCTGCCATCCAAGACTGGGCCCAGTATGTGAAAAGAATGCATTATTTTTTCAGGGCAAAAGACAACAGGGCAAATGAAAAGCAAGGAGTAATCTTCCGACAGCTTGTGGACCTGCAGTATTTTCGGTTATCAGGAGCCTAACTTTCCCTGAGGCATTAGATACTAAAGAACTTTCAAGACTTGATGGATTTAATTAAGGAATATTATGACCCCAAGTCTCCTCTAATTCGGAGATGCTATCGTTTTAACTCAGCAATTTGAAAGGGGAATCCATATTGGGATTTTTGACTAGGTTAAGGTGACTGGCAGAGGTAGGCGATTTTAGTTTAATCCTTAATGAGATACTGAGAGTCTGGTTCATATGTGGGATTAATGATATAACCATGCAAAAGTGCCTACTAGGTGAAGACCAACTGGGCTTCAAACAGGCGCTACAACTAGCTTTCTCTTTGGAAAATGTGGAAGGTGGAGTATTTGAGTGGAGAGTACTCTGATAAAAGTGGACACGCTTGCCAGTCTGATTGAGTTTGGGGAACACCACTTGAGTGAAGACAATTAAACAGCCACAGTCGGTGGGGGGGTTGCAGTGAGCTCCACAAAACAAGAGAGATAGTTTATTGCAGGGGCGGTGTATGGTTCAGGGACCAGGGAAATGGACCTACATGAGTAAGAAGCTTGGTCATCACAAGATCAGGACCAGTGACATATAAAGTATGGGCAGGAGCAACAGCCCTGATCGAGCACATGGACCATACAAATGCCGCAAATTCACAAACTGCGGGAGCAAAATGTGCCCTGCTCCTCAGAACAGTTGGAGAGGCTCTGGGTTCTCCCTCTCCACCAAGAGAGCTCTGAATATAAGATGGGCACAGTCAAAAATCACACGACACCAGGTTATAGTCCAACAGGTTTATTTGAAAACGCAAGCTTTCAGCGTTCAGCCAGTCCAACACCAACATCTCCACATCATAAGATGGACATGGCACATCTTACTGCATCGATGCCTTTGCCGCTGAAAGAAGAGAATGAATTTCTGGCAATACGCTCCAGGCTCAAGAGGCGAGTTTCTGTGCGTTACATGCCACCCATATCTGCAGAGTCGGAGGAACCCAATCTGATGCGAAAACACCTCAGGAGATGCTGCAAGAAAATGCCTGGCCCATGTCCTTGGACTCAGAGGGGGAGGAATGTAGAGATTGTAACCAGGTCAGTTGGGTAGACTTCATACAATACGAGTTCCCTGATTCGGGCTGTTAATCTGGTCCAATCGGGAAGCCCTGACTGACAGATAAAAAGAGGAGTGCCAGACCTTCTGACCATCAGAGCTGGCGCTAAGCGAGATGGACCGTTGTCAAGGACTTTCCACATACAAAATAAAGGGTGACTTGGTGATGGGATACCAGCCTCTGTGGGGTTATTTCTCCATGATTGATGTAGACTTGATAATAAACCATTAAAAATTCAAAGTACTAAAGTATCCTTAATGGTCTTGGTCACATAAAAGATTATCAAGTACATCATGAAATGTTCACTTGATTGCTGTCTTTATCATGTGTGCAATCCTGGAGCCAATCTCTCTCAAGGAGATCAGACTTAACACTCGCACAAGAAGACAGTCCCCAGTCAATCATCAGATAACTACAATGTGTGGGTTTGTGAACTTTCTAAAGAGATCTATAGCCACAGTAAAGTTTAACATGTTACTTGCTGAGCCAGTATAACAATATTTTCATTTGAAAATATCTATAGATACCTCAAAAAAATCTTTACTTACAAGAACCTTGATTCTTTTAGAAATGTATCTATAAAACTACAGAAAATATGTTTCAAATTCAACTAATCATGTAATGTGTTTTAAGAAATGTCTACAAAATGGTAAGATGATCAAAAAAAACTGATCTATTTTTCTTTCACATGGTCAGTCAATTCTAATTTATTTTTCAACAAAAAAGTCTTATATGTTGAGCAAAGTAGCAGAGGTAAAGGATAAAATAAATGCAACAAAATTTATTTTATGTTAGCCTTGATTCATTGACAGTATTGCTATCTTTCAGTCAAATAGTCATAGGTATAAAAGATTTGAGTACCAGCATTCCAGACTGACATTGCAATGTAGTACAGGGGAGTGCGGAGGTATTGCTTTATGGATAAAATATTAAATTGATACCTCGTCTTCTCTCTTAAGATCCTATGGAACCATTGAGAAAACAGCAGAGAATTTTCCCAGTGTCCTGGATAGCATTTGTACAACAGTCAAAATTATAAGAACAGACTATCTAATCAATTAACATAATACTATATTTGGTTCCTTGCAGTTTACAAATTGGCCATTGTATTTCCCTAACATTACAACAGTGACTACATTTCAAAACACCTAACTGCTTGAGAAATACTTTGAAAAGCCCTGGAAGACACTATATAACTGCAAGTTTCTTTTTCTTATTTTCATACACAAAGCAACATCCATTTTAAATAACCACAAAAAATGTTTTGCAATAATCCGATTTTCTTGTTTGCTTTTATTATTTAATTTTAAACTTACCATATTCCTGGTTATGCAGATTCTGTGGGCTGTGCATTCTTTCTTCTTGACTGGGACTTAAATCAGAGTTCACACACTGGTCAGCTGAAATCCATGTGGCGTCACTCATATCAAAATCATCGCTGCTCACTGAACTTTCATCCTGCAAGAGAAAATTCATTCATGACAACCAATATCTAGCAATTAAATTGAGCTACAATTCACTACATGTTGTCAGCATACAATGGCATTGCCAGGCATACACAGTGTATGAAAATGCATATGGGGTGAAAAGGCAACTGTGAGCGCATGGATTCACACCCTACCCCATAAAATCCTGCCAGTGCAACTAATCTAGTTTCTTGAACATCACAGCATTGGGAGCTGACATAAGCTATTCATCAAGAGTGAGCACTGCCATTGAAGTAGGGGCTGGGTGGCAAGTGAGGGACAAAGTGCCTCAAAAGGTGGGAGGAGATTGAAATCAGTGCTTCCGTAATCTAGTTGTAGTTAAAAACCTGTTTCTATAAGCTGCGGAGAAAAGTAGGTGAATCTTATGATAGGACAGACAACATCGCTCACGCCCTCACAGAAAAGCAGGCCCTGAACAACTGACTTTAGAAATAGCTGCCACATAGCATTTAGAACCCCCACCCATCAGCGAATGGAAATATCCCCTAAAGCGCTGCCAGTCAATCCTATTGGCTAGTAGCTGAGTAGTCCCAGCAAGGGACCAAACCAAAAGTTGTCTCAAAGAAGAAAATCCACAGATGTCTGATTGGCAGATTAGTCAGGTATTTTTTGGTAAGGAAGCAATCAGCAACCCAAGAGAGGGTAAAAGAGGTGTTCTAGGACTAAGTAGGAATGCACTATTGGAGGGAAGTGGAATATCATCTTGATTACAATAATCTTCTGAAACAGTGGCTCCTTCGTTCACCTTTCTTAGCCACACATTTTATTGCAGCAGAGGCAGAAACAGGCCCCTACCTGGCCATTAAAATACTCAATAGGCTTAAGGATGTGCAGGTTAGCAAACGCCCTACCCACCCACCTGATTACAGATGTTAGCTCATGGGTGTAGGCTGGCCAGGAAGGTAGTAGGCTAACTATTCATTCTATTTTCTGCACATCTGTATGTTTATTAATTACAGCTCTGCTTGTAAATACTCAACATACTGATTTCAATGTTCAAAAAATATACACTTCCTTGCAAGTATTTTACATTTCCTGCGGCATTTCAACAAGATATGTCCAAACTATGTCAAAGCAACTTGCTGGTTTAAATAGCTTGGCTAAATCTTTCACAACCCCTCCTTACCTCTCAAAATTGCATTCACGTTGAAAAATATAATAATACAAGATTAAAAGTTTAAAAGAGAATCTTCCCATGTAATATCGCTTAATCTAATTTCTTGGAGAAATATGTTCTCAAGGGTAACATTAACATACATATAGTACCAAGCTTGACATTTTCATGTCTCTTAAATGTCTTATGACCCCAGATATTTCACAGGACAGTTCAAGAAACAAATATATACATTTCGAAAGTGCAATGTTTAAATTGCTACAGTTTCAATCATTCAACAAATCCTAAAGGTACCTTACAGCTTACAACATGGAGGATTCAACTGGTTTACCTATTGCCACCATTACTGCTTTTACTATGTAAATAATGACAGACATTAGTGTTCTGAGAACAAACCTCTCTGGAGACAGGTTAGAAGGTCTTCAAGAATCTTCATATAAATTATGCATCATTTGAGTTCTAGTGGTATTTATGCTCAGGTTGCTATGGTAATACAATGACAGTCTGTAAATGGACATCACAAGCCCCATTTCCAGAGCAATAAAATTCACAATAGTTATGCAAAATCAAATCTTACAGTTTTTCAATACTAACGTGAGAATGCAATAATTAAGGTGACTGGCTCATAACCATACTTATAGATTTGCATTCCAAGGCCAACTCACTATTATCTGTAAACTGCAATTGTAATTTTTCCAGCTTTTGAACCAGGTGTGAGAAAGCTCACCTAGCAAAGACAAGAATAATCACTTCAAAAAGAGGAAAGAAAAATTAAGCATTGCATGTCTTACAAGCAGAACACTTCACAAAACTTTGCACTTCTTATGTTTCTTCATTTCCACTAAGTTGAAGGCTTAACAGTCCCAAAAGGAAGAAAAATATAAGAAAATATAAAATTCCTATGCCACCGTTTGGGATTTCAGTTGATTGTTTTAAAATAGTAGAGATCTGCTAAATGTCATCCACTGAACATTAAAACTAAGGTCCACTTCCAACCTGTTTTTACAGTTCAGAACTACTCCTTCGTCCTCCGCTGCCCCACTTACTGCCGCCATGCATTAGGATTAATGCCAAGATCCTGGAAAATGTGGGCCATTTTCTGTAGTTTGGGAGCTTCATCTCGGTAAAGGCAGACATTGATGATACAATTATTTAGGATTGAGATGATAATCATTCAAAAACTGCTTAATTAAACAGGATGTGTTGTTCATGTGCTGGATATCTCAAAACAACTGTTCACCTCAGAGCTCTGTCACAGCAGGAAACTTACAGGAGGACAGCAGAAATGTCCTCAAAACATCCCTGAAGGGATCAAGCATCCTCACCAACTTACAGGAGACTTGAGTTGCAAACAACCAAGGCAGAAAAGATTCATTTGGGGAAGCACTGAAAACATTGAGAACCTTCTTCGAGAACACACAGAGATGAAGTCGGGGTGGAAGATAGCATACACACCTCTATACTCCTCATCAGCTTGCATGTGACAATCCTCAGATCGTACCTTGGACTCAGCAGCCATCTCCAGACCCATCAAACCAAAGTGGAAGCAATTCATATGCATTCCCAAGGGGCAGCCTAGGAAGACTTAATTTTACAAGACTGGGCCTATCACAACGAATGTCCAAACCTCTGTCAATCCGGCAATGCCCTGCTGGGTTCATAAACCAGTACTTAAATTCAAAGAAAGTCATACGTTAAAAAAAATTTAATTAGCTAAAACTCAATTCCATTTTGTGGCAGTTAATAGAACATAAAATATTGAAGAAAGCATACTAAAGCAAAGAAAAATATTTGTACTATCCTTATTGAAGTCACTCATAAGGATATTCAGTTAAGTAATTCTTTGAATATTTTAGTATGTTGAATACATTGTCTTGAAAAAAAATCTCACACTATACCTCCAATTTCCTCAGCATCTCAACATACTACAGACTTCCTCTAATAAAATACACTAATTACTAATTGATATTTATTGCTAATTATAAGGGAGATGATGGCCTATTGGTATTATCACTAGACTATTAATCTACAGATCCAGGTAATGTCCTGGTGACCTAGGTTTGAAACCCACCATAGCAGATGGGGGCAATATAAAGTCAATAAAAAGTCTAGGATTAAGAATCCAATGATAACCCTGAAACCATTGCCAATTGTCGGGAAAAGTCAATCTGGTTCACTAATGTCCTTTAGGAAAGGAAATCTGCCATCAATACCCAATCTGGCCTACATGTGACTCCAGGCCCATTGCAATGAAGCTGATTTTCAACTGCTTGCTAGGCAATTAGGAATGGGCAACAAATACTGGCCTCACCAACGACATCCATGTTCCACGAATACATTTTTAAAAAGCCAAGAAAATGCTCTGCTAACATGCTTACATAATCTCAAATCATTACCTGTAAGCAGAAAACTGTGGTTTGCAGGTACGAGTGCACATACGTACACATCCCAATTCATTAGGATTCATTAACAACATTTTCATCCCAGTCACAGCTAGCAGATGCATTCTTTACATCAAGATTGCGACAGCAAACTCCATACACTGTACACTGCCATTTCTGAAGAAGGGTCTAGGCCCGAAACGTCAGCCTTCCTGCTCCTCTGATGCTGCTTGGCCTGCTGTGTTCATCCAGCTCTACACCTTGTTGTCTCCATACACTGTTTGTCAGGTTGCTAATGCTCCTAACATTTTCATTCAGAATCAGTCGAAAGCTCAGGATAAAGTTCCCAATTAACATAACAGGAATTCTTGAAATTATTAGGATTGTTTGAATTATTCTACAGCTAAGTGGTATTATGTGGCTTGTTAAGCTGTTAGTTTTAATGAATAATTCAAATGAAACTACAGCACCCATCTTTTTTGAGGATTATCCTTGAATTTTTCCTTCTTCTGGTCTCTCACATCATCAATGTCCTACATTAGAAAAACAAGTGACTGGCCTACTTCCAAACTTCCTCTATCTTAATTTTAAACTGACTCGTAGGAGATTCATGACAGCATGCCCTAACATTTACTCTTCATTTGATGTTTCCTTAAACACAAAGGTGTGTTCCAATCAGTTCTTGCTCAAGATAACAGGAAAATAATTAGACGTTTCATGCAGTGGGTGAATTAGAGCAGAAAACGGTCAGCTGGCCAGGCAATATGTATCAAGAGAGAACCTGAGTTAATTTTCAGGTTGATGATCTATCATCAATGATGGAATAAGTTAGAGGTTTAGATAACATATTTTAAGTAAGTAAAAGGGAGAAGGGTGGGAAAACACAAAAGGGATAGTTTGTGATAAACTGGAAGGCAGGAGAGACTAATCTAAATAAAAGTTGTGTTGCAGAGGCAAAGAGAGTTGTAATGAGTTAAAAAAAGAAACAAAAAGCATGCCTGGAGAAGTGTGAGTGGCAGATTCATGAAGACATGTTGTCTATCAGCAAACAAAAGAGAAAAAGAGGGAAGAAAACAAAACTAGTAAGGAGAAAAGAAGCAAAATGGGACAAAAATGAGTGTGAAGGAAGGGGACACATGATGCAGTTGCTGCAAATTTTGTGCTTGCAAAGGTGCTAAGACAAGGGGAAGAATAGGATGGGGGGGTGAATGGGGGTGATTGAGGAATTGAACAGGGCATCACAGTGATAATGGTCCTTTCAAAATGCTGAATGGGGAAGGGAAGATGGTTGCATCATGCTTGTGGTGACCAATACAGTGGACGATAATCTGTTCAATGCAGGAGATGATGGATTGAAGACAAGTAGAACCCTATCACCGTTCTGAGAGATAAGGGAACAAGTGACAACAAAACGTATGAAAAGGAATGGAGACAGTCAAGGGTCTTGTTTATCATACTGGGGGGTGAGGAGGGGGC